TGTGTGTGTGTGTGTGTGTGTGTGTGAGACTGTAGCTGTGTGAGAGAGTTTGAATAAGTATGGGAAATAGAGAGGCAGGGATATCCCATACAGGCAATGTGGATGTATATAAAAGACATAAACAAACCAATGTGGGAACAGACACTGTTTCCGCTCACACCTGTAATTACAGTTCGCCTTAACCTTGACAGAACTGTGATTCCCAGTATGTTGCTACAGACACAACTCAAACTCATATTTTGGATTAATTCAGCTCTTTATACAAATGAGTATATTGAGGGGCTTTTTTTTAAAAGAATGATGAACTTACTACAGCAGAGAATGTGTGTAAATTTATGACAGATTGTTGACTTGCAAAAGTATTTCATACACAGTGTACTGTAACGTTCATGCATGTGATTATTACCAAGGAGATTATATTTTTCTCTGCATTTCTGTTTTATTGTTGGTGATCCAGAATCACGCAAAATCTTCTTGTTGGAGGGAAGTGGTATGGGTCAGCAAAGAACCCATTGAATTTTGGAGCACAGGAATTATTTTCCACTTTCTGTAACAGAGTGTTTTGGAACATCTTGATTTGTTTGAGATTAATGAATGGGTCTTGATTTTTAAAAGTCAGGCATGTGTAGGGCTCTGGTATTTACTTTTCAAATTAAAATCTGGATCCAGCAAATTTAAACGTGGTTTCATATGGTGACTGTTGGGCCTTGGTGGACATATGCACTCACTAATTTCCCTACTGGTTTATACATCAAATCCATATATAAGTATTGATAGTTGAAATAACTATTAAGAGGAAATGTTTACATCTGCTGCAGCAGCTGTGTTGCCAGTTTAATTTGATCATTCAGACTAAAGGTTGTTTCTTACATCAAGATTCAGCTGATCTCTGTATTGAGCACCTTCTAAATTTTAAACCAGATTTGTGAAAGATTAACACATAATTAACAAATTAATTTTAATGTTTGCTTGACTTGTTGTCCTCTCTCTTTCCTCATCCATTCTCCTCCGCCCATTTTTTTTTTACTTTGCCAGTGTCTGGAGGTCGCAGTCGCCTCCATCTGCTGGACCTTGGCAGCTGTGACGTCAAAGTACTTGGAGGAGGTGGAGGTGGGAAGAGCAGGGAGAACTCCTCACCCAGCTCAGCCCCACTGTGCCTTTCTTTATCCGCCCTCGGCAATGTCATCCTGGCCCTGGTCAACGGCAGCAAACACATCCCATACAAGTAAGGTGGTATGTGCAGGTGTGTGTGTGAGGAGAGGAGAGGAGAGGAGGAAAGCAGGAGAAGAGGAAAGGAAAAGGGATGACAGATCTCCTAAGCTGCTTCAGGTTTTGGGGACTTAATGTTATAAACAACAACAGCTGCTGTTCCATATTCATCACATTTATTTTGCTGGTTAAGTGAATGGCAACGAGAGGAAAGGAGAGAAGAGAGAGGAGAGATGTAGATATACAGACAGAGTCAGAGACAAAGTAAACAGCAAAGCGGGTAGAAAATTTAAATACCCACAGCAGAAAGATACCATAATTGATGTGGTAACATTTATTATGCTCAAGCAGTGTGTCCCCATTCTCCTTTCTCCTCATTTAATCCCTCTTTTCTTTCCTCCTTCCTCCTTGCTCTGCCTCTCTCCTTAAGGCTGTCTAGCGCTCTGCTCCTTGCTGGGTTAATTTAATCACCAGCTTTTGCATTTACATTGCAAAACAAGCTGCAACCAACACTGAAGCTTTAGGCAAAGCTGTGCTGAGTCTGCTTTGGCATTAGAGACTGGTGTCAGAAGGTGAGGGGATACGGACATGTTTTATAGACGGATGTCTTATGGTGGATGATTCAGTAGATGCCTCATGGTAGATGCCTCACGCCAAAAAGGTTCCCAGTTTGAATCAAAGCTTGCCTGGAGTCTCTCTGTGTGTCTAACCTAATGTCAGCTGGGATTGGCCACCTCCATGACCCTCAGAGGTTAAGTGGTACAGGTAATGAATGAATGGAAGGATACGTTATTATTACAATCAGTAATAATGGGTCGTTCTATATCCAACTTTGCAATTCATTTTGATCTCAAACTACACAAATCTGTCCACCAACACACATTATGATGCATGAAGACAATTATACCAATATTTGTGCTTTTTCATCTTGTAGATGTACTTAAATAAATGCACAAATTTAGTCAGTAGAATTCATCCTTGAGGTATGATGGATATTTTTGCATAATTTAATGGCAATCCATCCCATAATATTACAGAAAAACAGCTACGTAAACCAAAATCTGAGGCTAGAATTAACTCTCTGTCTATAAGCACATATTTCTATGGTGATCCAGTTGGTAGATTTAAGATATTTCAGTGGACAGACTTTGCCATCCCTAGAAAGCAAAGCAACATTATTGCAGATATTTAGGCTTCCTGTGACCTAACATCATTGGGAGCAATGAAAAAACTAAAAATGTCTTCAAAGAACTCTTCTCCATTCATTTCATCACAGTTACATGCTGAGCTTGTCTTCCAGCGCTTCAGTACTTTGGGATTAGGGTCTCATCCTGTTCTCATAATCCTAGCCTGACTGTTGCTGGGTAACGGATGACTTTATGCCAGCTGATCCCTAAAAGTTTGGACATGAAGTGTGTTTGTACATTGCCGCACAGGCCGACAGTTGTCTGTCACCACAAACTCAGCATTATGGCTCCTGCAAGAATCCAAGTATCTCAGTGTGATCCCAAATTGCCAACAATCTTGCAAGACCAATGTTTCAGAGACAATAAAGGCTCTTAGCACATTCAACCGTTCTCATCAGGGACTCACTACAGCTCCTTTTCCAAAATCAGACCATTTCTCTCTTTCTCCCTTCAGTCATTAAACTCCCAACAGTTTTTGACTGACGTCTCTTTAGGGACACATTCACAGTTTCTATCCTCCAAAATCACAGTCCCAAATTTCTAGATTGTCGTAATTTATTTGTTCAGCCATCCATAGTACAAGTCTAGTTTGAAAAGAGAGCATCTTGTTACATTCAGCAGTCCTCCCTGATAGAACTCTGGTAATAACTCTACCACAGGCAGAAGTGTGAGATCTTATCCAACAGCAGGGTATCAGCACTTGAATTAACATGCAAATGACTCCTGCATGAGTCATGAATTTACCTACATTAATCTTAGGGCGAGATACAGAGAGATAGAGATGGATCGAGAGAGAGAGAGCGAGAGAGAGAAGAGGGTTTGTTGAAGCCTGAGGCGGCACACTGAGGAAAGACGACGAGGGAGGAGAGGAGGGAAGCATCGATGAGAAAGAGGAGGTCAAGAAAGGAGTATGTTTGTGTATGTGTGTGTGTGCGTGTGTGTGTGTGTGAGGAGACATGCCTGCAGGCTGTGTTTCTTGAAAAGGGGGACAGCAGCATGAGGTATTGAGCCACAGAGGAGCTGTACTCACTGTCAGCCTGCAGGCCTCAGGCATGCACACACACACACACACACACACACACACAAACACACACACACACACACACACACACACACACAAACACACACAAACACACGCACACAAGGTTATGAATGATTGCAGTAGCCCACCCAGGAAAGTCTTTTCTTAAACATACAGCCTAGTTTTTCTCCCTCATCTGCTGTAAAATCACTTTGGGAGCTAGATTATCTCCCAATATTAGACTGTAATATTCAGAGTGCCTCTTCTAAGACTTCCTGAGCTTTAGACTGAAATAGCAGCCTTTCATATCATCTTGCAGCATTAATCAATAAACAATCAATAGTCAACATCAACTTAGCCTTGTGGATCTTTTAGCTTCATTTAAATAAATATGTCAGCTTGTGACATAGACTTCAACCACAATAAACAAGCTTTTAATAATCAGTCACCTGTGGGTGTCGGAAAAACTGTTTTGTCACATGCCCTAAAATCTGTGTGTGTTTTCCAACCTGTCTTCAGTGCTCATGTCTCAATGTATGTGCGTTTCCAGGGACAGCAAGCTGACCATGTTGCTAAGAGAGTCGCTAGGCAACATGAACTGCCGGACCACCATGATTGCTCACATCTCTGCCTCACCCAGAGATTTCTCAGAAACCCTCTCCACCATCCAGATTGCTTCCCGGGTCCTTCGCATGAAAAAGAAGAAGACTAAAGTCACCGTGGTGAGTTTTGATCGAACCTTGATGCTTCGTTGAAATTGGGAGATCATTTATTTTAATCACATAAAACTAAAACCTACAGTCCCAGGTAAAATAACTTGAACAAATGGACACTTGACTCACTTTTAATCAGTGTCCATACCATGCTTATAATGAAACATGCACATCCTGCACATAATCTTATCATTGCATTGCATAATATTTTATTGATGAGGGTTCGTTTGAAAATCTAGGTTTAACGTGACCAACAAGTTAAAAATACTTTGTTTGTGCTGACTGTATTTCAACACCACACATTTTATCACCTCCTCTCCCTTTTCCATCAAAACCACGTGTGCCCAGAGTGTGCATGCTCACTTATCTCAAAACTGTTCAGCAGGCGTAAAAGGGGTTGAGTCACTCTCTCCAGAGTGAACTGTCAATTAAAGGCTCTGCAAATCAAAAAAATAGTGAATATTCGCTCTCTGACTTCCCCTGTCTTCCCTCTCTCCGCAGCAGTACACCTCCAGCTCCTCTGGAGGAGAGAGCTCCTGTGAGGAGGGCCGCATGCGGCGTCCCACCCATCTGCGTCCTTTTCATCAGCGTGGTGACACGGACTCTGACCTTCCACTGCTGCGACTATCCAGCGATCCCGACGAGTATTCAAGCAGCGAACAGTCCTGTGACACAGTCATCTATGTGGGCCCAAATGGAGCGGCGGTGTCGGACAGGGAGCTGACGGACAACGAGGGACCGCCAGAGTTTGTCCCAATTATTCCTGCTCTGCTACGAGGAAAAGCGCCAGAGCAGCATCAAACACAAAGTCAAAGTCAGACAGCTGGAGTCCAGAACAAGGTAAATTACCGCAACAACTACAGTGTTCAGACAATTCAGAAGTTTGCTCTGAAGAAAGATAAGACTTACTTCTGAGTGACTTCTGCTCCGACAGGTGCAGTGTCAGCAGGAGGACCAGCCCAGTGGCCCATCTCAGGCCTCTCCGTCACTGCTTGGGCAGCCGTTGGCCCCTGTCCCAGAGGAAGGAGGGGAGTGCCTGAAGTGCAACACCTTTGCCGAGCTGCAGGAGCGACTGGACTGCATTGATGGGAGCGAGGAGGTACTTTTCTGTCCTATTATGCAAGGAAAAACAACAGCTAGATATTCCAGAGATGACAACATAGACTGGTATGCAAATCAGAGTAAATCACAGTAATAACAACAATAACATTGTATATTGAAAGTTTGACAGATTGATTGTTATAATGAACATTATTCAAATGGACAAATGATTGCTGTTTCCAGCTTTTGTTCACTGTGGCAATTTTCTTTCAATTTAAAGAGGCATATTTCATTTGTCTACAAATTGAAAAAGCCTTATTTCTAACTGTTTGTACATGTCACATATTGTAAATGACTCAAGTGATTTGTTCTCATCCATCACCAGTGATGTTCTCTTGGATAACATTGTGCTTTTATTTTGAAGTTAAAGTGACATATGTGGAAAGTATTTTATTTGTCTTAAATCTACTGTGGCCCTGAGAGCTCAACACATTGCAGTTTAAGAACACATGCAAATAGGCACAACACACGCAAATGGAGAAAACATCTTCATCAGTTTGACAACACAAGTGCAGCCAATATAAAACATGTGGTAAATACTCACAACAGAACCAAATACTCACAACACAATGTTTTCGTCATTTGCATGTGTTTTGTCTATTTGCACGTGTTTTGTGATATTGTAGTGAGTTGAGCACTAAAGCCCACCGTACAAATCAAACAGTAGTAAATCTCATGTGAAAAACAAGGTCGGCTGTTTTTCATCCATGACTCTAACCCTTCGTTCAGGTGGCAAAGTTCCCCTTTGAAGAGGTTCCAGCGAACAAACAAGGTGCCAAACAAGAGCCATGTGTATCTTCATCTGTTCCAACCCCAGCTCCTGCTGCTCCTGGCTCTGCTGCCCTGTTGGATACAGAAGCCAAAACAGGTAAACACTTTTAATTTCATACATATGATGTATATCAATATTGTATCCCTGTGTAATGTACTTATAAACCCTAATAACTTGGACAACAAACTGGCTATGAAGGCTTCCAAATGTACACTTGTTATTCAACCACTGTTAATGTTCATCATCTCCAGGCTCTGCGTGTGCCGTAGAAGGCAGCGTGCAGTTCTCCTTCACCTCAGCAGCACCGGTCTCCAGGAGGAGAACCAATGACCAGCAGCTGCAGGAGATCAAGGAGGTGGTGGAGGAGGCAGAACTGGCCCAGACTATGATCCACAGCCTGGCTCAGACTTCTGGTTCGTCCATAGTCACTAGTACCTGGAGTGTCACTGGAAGCAGCAGCATCACCTCCAACCCCCTGCACAGGGTCAAGGGCTCACAACTTCACGACAGGTGAGGTCAGACCCGGTGTGGACCCTCAAGAAAAAAGAATTTAGACCTTTTCCAGCTGATGGTGTTAGCCTCTGGAATGTACTTGATCTCAGCTGACATGATGTCTTTCTTGGTGTCTGTCTCTTTTACAGCCATGAGAGTCTGAATGTGGGCGTTAACGCTGAGGGAAAGGCACGTGCACTAGGATCACCACGCCTCGGCATCGCCAGCCTGACCAAAACCTCAGACTATAGGTGGCCAACACATGAACTGCATTTGGAAAACCTTGAAATAATAACACAAAAAATTCTTCCTAATGTTTCTTTTATAGCTAAATCAAACCATAAGCAGCATCACACGAGTTACATGTAGACTAATAAACAAAGACTGGCTCCATGATGTTTGATTCTTGTATTTCTCCTCAGGCCTCCGTCCTCTCCATCACAGCGGTGCAAAGTGTACACCCAGAAGGGCGTGATGCCGGCAACGCCCCCCCTGTCGTCGCACACTCTGGCTCAAGATGGCCAGGCCACAGAGGCTCTGATGTCTGACAGTATGTATTTTTACTTCAGAAATATATTTAACATGAAACACTGAAATACATATTTGATTTCATGATTGATTTTTGTTCATATGTTTTGTTTCTATTTTCATATATCCATCTTCAGGTGTCTCTTCTTATTCTGAACAGATGATGCCCCGTTTAAGTTGCACTTTCCCCACCAAAAGTAGTTCATCATATGCGTTATAATTTTATTGCTGTTTAATATCAACATCTGTACAATGATGGCAAACACTTTGGCATATTAAATAGTTTAACTCCATAACAATGGGGGGTCTGAAACTTGAATCATAATCTGATGCCAATTTCCTAATTTCCTAAATTTACCAGTGCACCATCAGGTGCACATATTCTGCACTTGGAAAAGAAAATGGATTACAACGCCAAATGTGTGTTTGTGATTCTGCAGACAGTTTGGCCGCAGACAGTGGCCGTTCCTCCACAGAGTCAATTCTGTACAGAACGTCTCCTGTGGGCATGAGCCCACAAGTTCGAGAGCCAACTCCTTCTCTGTCTGCCAGCCTGGGCTCGGCTGAGACACTGTGTGACGATGATGTACCACCTATACCCATGGACACACTCAAGGATGGTGAGCTGCAGTAAAACTGCTATTTTTAATACAAGGATAAGTGAATGATGAGTCACATTCAAGCCCTTGAAGTTATGATGAAAAAGAAGTTAGACACATGTAAACACCAAATGGCTAAGAAATTGAAAAATCTCTTTTCTCTCTCCTCCATCTGTAGCCTCAGAGGCAGCTCTGTCTGTAGGAACACTTGCACCTCTCTCACTTGGGGAGGATGTACTGGTGTACACTGTGGTTTCTGGGCAGGAGGACCCTGACATTGCAGCTCTCATGGAAACACGGGGCCTGACCTGTCTTCCATCCAGCATCATCAGCTTCAACAGCGAATGTGGCTCTCTCACTGCCCTCACCTCAGGCTCTCAGCCCCTCAACATCATCAGTGGTGCTGCTGAGAATACAGCTGTGCAGGATTATCCCTTACCTGCAGGTCTGGCAGTAACCTCAGGGGTTACAGAGGTTGTTGCAATGGCAGAGGTAAGTGTGACTGACTTTGCCTTGAATTTAAAGAAACTAATTTGGCATATGGGTCTTAAATCCTTAATTGCTTTCTTTTGGATTTCAGGTGGCAATGGCCAAGTTGCGGATAGAAGGTGAAGCCTTAGCCACAGTGATGTCTAACTGTGGTTCACCCATGTCCTCCTGGGTGAGCGATCTGAGCCTTGGCAGTGATGCCGATCAGTCTCTTCACAGCTTCAGCCAGTCTCAGAGCCAGCAAGGGGAGGCCTTAGCCGAACCTGATCCCAGCCAGAGCTCTGGAGTCGAGGGTCTCGTTGAATATGAAACCTGTGGCAGCCCAAGGAGAGGGAGTCTGGAAGGAGAGGTGGTGCTGCAAGACAACGGCAGTGATAAAGGAACCAAAGACAGGCTGAGGAAAATGCCACCCTCCATGGCTAAAACTAACATTCAGATTCTGGTAGGACCCAGTAGCCTATCACCTTTCAAGACCACAATGAGCATTCACCAATGTGTGGCTGTCAAACCCATGATGATCCAAGAACCAACCCTGCTCTCCTCACCTACCAAGATGAGCTTAATGAAAGATACAAGCAAATTCAATGCACCACTTTTAGCCTCGATTTCCAGTGAGATGAGCTTTGACGACCCCTGGTTGAAGCGAGGCATGGAGGAGGCGGGGTTCGGGGAGTATTTGTGTGAAGTGAAGCCAGAGAAAAGGGAAGTAGACCATGTAAAGTGTCAGGGTGGCGCTGGGGCCGGAGACCACCAGGGCTTCTACAAGTATGGTGAGTATAAGTAGTAATGCATTTGAAGTAAAAGATTTGTGGGAATTTCTTGAATCAAATGTTTTCTCCTTGTTCCATAACCAGGTGTGGATCATTACAGCTCTAGCTCAGGTGGTGAGGTTGTATCGCCTCCAGATTCCTTTAATAAGAGAGTGGTGGATGGTTGTGAGATGGTTGCTGTTGTTGCCCAGGGAGAGTGCCTCACTATGTACAGCCCAGATATCCACCGTACTTCCAGTCTTCCCCGCGGCTGGCATCGTCTTAACCGACATGATGGCTTAGACAATGGAATTGAGTACCGCAACCTCGGCGTCACAACTTCAACTCCCTGTAGTCCCCGCGCTACACTTGATCGCCGGGGATCAACTGGGAAACAGGGCTTTTTCTCCCACAAGAAGGGTGGGATCCCACCGCTGCCACCGGTAAGGAAGTCCAGCCTTGACCAGCGCAGCAGGGCGGCCAGCCCTCTTCACCAACCCAGTCATGGAGTCTCATTAATTGGCAGCTTAGTAGATGATGTGTCTGCCACCAGACAACGAGGCTCCAGCATAGACAGCAGTAGACTTTTCAGCGCCAAGTTGGAACAGCTTGCGAACAGAACCAACTCACTGGGTCGGGCACACAGCTCCCATGGTGGCTCCCACCATTATGACTGCTTCTCCCTGGAGAGGGGCGAGAGCCTGAGAGGAGGAGGGGTTAGGGGGGACAGCACCATGCCTCGCACTGGGAGGAGTCTCACCCGGGCTGGATCAGTTTCTTCTCCCACTGCAAACATGACCAATCCCGGTTTCAGTGGCAGTCCTGGTCCCAGCAGCGCTCCACAGTCACCAGCCAAAACCAGTGGCCAGTCAAAAATCTCAGCTGTGAATAAACTGCTGATGACCAGTAGTCCCAAAACCAGGAGTCTGTCTGCCTCCAGCACCAAGACTCTGAGCTTCTCTACCAAGTCTTTGAGCCAAACCACCAGCCGCAGCTCCAGCCTTCCTCCTAATGGAAAAGTAAGAATTCTTCTTAACAGTAAATTAACACGTTTACCCATTGTTAAACTACACCATGTGATAAGTTTTAGCCCCAACTCTGGGACCTTCTTCTGTTGGCACTTTACATTGTATACAAGAAGAAACACAGAACACTTTCATCAACAACTCACTGCACATAATTCAAAAATTCACCATGACCTCTGTTTCTTCTGCCGTCCACCTGAGTCCTTTATCTGTTTCCTCAGCCCCAGAGCTCAGTGCAGGCTCCTCTGCAGCAGCAGGGACCCTCCCCTGTATCCTGGTCTACCCAGTCTCTAAGCCGCAGTCGAGGGGGAAGCCTGGCCGCCAAGCTCCCTCTGAGAGCTGTCAACGGTCGTATCTCAGAGCTCCTCCAAGGAAGTGCAGGCTCCCGTTCCAGGAGTCATGCACAGGGAGGAAGCACTGATGCTGGGGAGGAAAGAGGAGTTGGAGGAGCAAGGTGAATCTGTTTGACTTTACGTTTTAGGTTGTGTAAAAGGATTTTATTGATTTATATGACGTGCAAGTGACAATTTATAGCTTTCAGACATATTTTCAGTGTGTTTAAATGCAGTTTGTAGTAATACCTGAATTTTTTTTTTTTACTCAGTGGAGGAGGAGGTGCAGCAGGAGGTGGTGGTCTGGGTGAGGAGAAAGCAGCAGTGGTCCAAACGCTGCCTTCTCCCTACAGCAAGATCACAGCCCCTAGAAAACCTCAGCGATGCAGCAGCGGCCATGCCAGCGACAACAGGTCGGACCTCAAGTTGATTGAGAAATTTAACATCTTTTTTGAAACAATACTTCTGGTCCTGCCTTATAAGAGATTTTATTTTTGAACAAACCACTGAATGTGATCTAATTTGTGACTCTAACAGCAGTGTACTCAGTGGTGAGCTCCCCCCGGCCATGGGGAAGACGGCCCTGTTTTACCACAGTGGAGGCAGCAGTGGCTACGAGAGCATGCTGAGAGACAGCAGCGAGAACACAGGAAGCACTTCCTCTGCTCAGGACTCCCTCAGCGAACACAGCACAGTCACCACCTCCTCCAGACGGAGCTCCAAGAGCAGCAAGAAGAGCAGGAGCAACACAGGTCTCAATAAACATTTAAACCTGTTACATCAATATTGCTTTAATTACGTTCATACTTAATTGGATTGGTTGTCGTAGAGGGTGACATAACAGAGGTTATGTTTTCATTCCTGTTTGTTTGTTTGTTGGTTTGTGTCTTTAGTTATAAGCAAGTTTATGCAAAAACTACTGAACAGAATAGTACTGCAAACCTTGGTGGAAAGATGTTGTATGGGTCAGAAAAGACCCCATTAAATTTCAGTGTGGATCCAGATCAGGAGACGGATCCAGGATTTCTTTGGTTTTATTCACATTCACCTCCGAGAGAATAATTCATGGATCTTAATGGAAACAATAAGCGTGTTTAGGCGACTGATCTCAATGAGTTTGTGTATTTTGGTGCAGTTCCAAATGAAAGTCCAATTCTAGTTAATTTAATTGTGCTTTGATAAGACTGTTGGGCCTTGCCAGAGTTATGTGCTCTACCGAGTGCCATTTCAGTTATTGTTTGCAGTAAACTCTGTCTCGTTGGCCTTAATTAGGGAAGCTACAAATGCATATCTCAACTGAGCTGCAAATATCCTTCTGCAACAAGAACATAAAGCAACATTTGAAATCAATTCTGTGTAAAATTTACTTATGTGGAGGAAAAACCAGTGAACTGGTGAATGAATGGACCAAATTTCATTTTAATCTAATTGTATCCATTCCCTTTCCCCCACCACACTGAGGACTTAACCAAGACAAGCCATGACTATAATCAGAAGACTCCCAAAGCTTTGACAAAGAAATGAAAACCACAGAGAAGCACTGATAGAAAGAGGAGAGATAGAGATGGCTATAGAGAGAAAAAGTAATGGGCACGTAAGAGAGAAATGAGAAAGAAAGCTGTGGCTGCAAAAGGAGCCAGGTAGCAAAGGTGACCCTGACCACCCATCTGTGAAATGGTGAAGGGATCTGCTGGTGTGGGCTGTAATGAATATATATTCATCAGAACACCACACAGAGAGCCTGCTAATGTGGTCTGCAATTTACACTCTGCTGGTTAACAACGACGATGGATCTGTGCGTGTAGGCATATTGGACAGGGGCAGCTCTTTCTGGTGTGTCTGTGAGTACTGATTTGAATTGGAATATATCGTTCCCTCTGTGCATGTAGGAGGTGACTTCACCTCCTGCCACGCAGCGTCAAGTCGGGATTTACACTCATTTTCCTTTTCCCACAACTGAACCTGTAGCTCAGACAGAGAGCTTGCGCTGTCAATCTGTCACAAAAAGAAAGAAATGAGAACGAAAGGACTGCCTATGCTTTTAATTCATGGCGGTGGAGACCAGTGATGGAGACTGTGTCCAAGATAAGGACAGAACAGAGAGAGCTGCTGAATTTGCCGTATGCTATCGTGCGCCACACGCAGGCAACTAAGAATCGTTATGCTCTCTTGGCATGTTTAAAAATACTTTCGTGTGTGTGGTCCAGGTATTAGTTTGTTGCGGGGACCTAAATCTGTTCACCCAATCAAATAATGGGGATTTGTCTTCCTTATGGGGACAAGTCCCCATGACAAAAATTATTAAATCTTGGGATGAAGATATGTTTAAGGGTTAGGGTTTATGTTTAGGCTAAGGTTAGATTTAGTCTCTATAAGAAATCATTGGACACTATGCACATTTAATGAAGTCAGGGAGACACGACTATGTGTGTGTGTGTGTGTGTGTGTCTGTCTGTGTGTATGATGGGTTCTCCCGAGTTAAAGAAATGATCAATAGAACAAATAAAATTCAGTTCCAAATGAATAGTATAATGAAGAGAAGACAAATGTTCCACAACAACGTGCGGAAATGTCTCTCCAATTTTTCCTTCACGTCTCGACCTGTCCTCATCATTTTTCATTGATTGCTCTCGCATTCCTGCCTCGTTCGTCCAGCTCGCACCTTGTCTTCCCTGCAGACCCTCGTTCTTTCCCCGCCCCCTTCTACGCCTCGTCCTACTATGTAATGAAATACAAATGTCTCTGCTTGACCTTCCTGTGCCACACTGAGACCAAAAGACAGCTGCAGCCTTATTAAAATAACCACTCTCTCCCTCCTCTCTGTCTCTCACACACCTCATCCTGCTGTGAATCTGATAACAGCCATTTCTGTCTACATGGTTGTCAATTTCTATGTAAAGTGAGTGTGTGCCTGCATGAATGTGTGTGGGTTCATTCAAGCGTAGTGGGCAGATTAGGGACGGACCCGGTGCTCTTATCTATAACTTTAATGAACAGAGAATAAACTTTTTTTATCTTGCTTCATATGCCATTATCTGTTTCTTGTTCTCTTTATGTCTTTTCAATCACTCAGTACTTTTCTTTTGTTCCTTCTATTCTGCGTCTCTCCACTGATGATTCATCCCTCTTTCTTTTCTGTCTCACATACTATCTCTTTCCTCAGCTTAGTAACATTCTGCTTTTATATCCTCCATGCTCTGTCTTCCTGTTTACCTCTGCTGATACACAGCAAATTGAAAAGCATAAACAAGCAGGAGTTCTGTGTCGAGTACAAGGACACTTACATTGTACTTTATTGACGATATGGTTGTGGATGTGTATGTTAACACGTGCAAAGGTGGAAACAAGCTTTTTCTTGTGATTACATTCTCATCCTGAAAAGTCCAATATAAGAAAATGATAAAAGAAGGCAGCTAGCAATTTCATTTTTCCTAGGTTAAATTTCTTGCAGAGATCAATACCACTCTTGAATCTGTCCATTCAATATAAGATTGCAGCCAACAGCCTTTAGCTTAATGTAAAATAAAACCTGGAAACACAGGGAAGTCGCCTGGCTCTGTAACAAAATCTTGCAGTTATTATTACTAATATTATTGAATGGACAGATGCGTAGAGTAGTCTACTCATCAATCTCTTGCATTCAAAGGAGCCTATTTCCACACATTTCTTTAATTGGTATGTATTAAAAATGGAATATTTTTGGCAATAAAGAAAGTTTTTGTTCTCTCAGTAGAAGAATCGCTGAATGTAATCTTGACCTAGTGATGCATTTCATTCGTAGCAATTTAAACCAAGTATCAATCTAAAGCAGTTTTCATGGTTCACTGTATACATTTATGTTTAAAATTCAGATTTAGTCAGTTCGTAGTGTATATATAAAGATGGATGACATGACAGCTTCCCAAAAGTGGAGCCAAGCCATCTTGTTCATAAACCAATCAGCTCCATGTTAGTGGATGGGATATGTACCAAACTAAAAAGTAAAAAGTACACGTTTACATACATTTTCAGAGATGGTTTCTGTCATTTCACTTCAAGTGCCCATTTATTCAGTAGGTTTTGGTTTTATTAGTAACTTGATGCTATAAAAACAGTGTAAAACGTCATGACAAAATTTGGGGTGTCATTCAGGAAAGTTAAGGTGCCTATAATTAATCTCACTGTCAAACTGTACATCTCACAACAATGGAACACGTGAAGAAACTTTGAAGTAAACCTTATTATCTACAGTACAAGCTACCTACAGTAAACCGCATCAAATTTGTTTCAGAAATATTTTGTTGGTGACACTGACTTATTTGTTCTTCCAGGCCTCCAGCGTCGTCGCCTGATACCAGCTCTCACCTTGGACTCTTCCACCTCCTCACCCACTCATCGCTCCACGAAGCAGGCCATCACTTCCTCTTCTTCTTCCTCCTCCAGCCCAGGTGCCTGCTGGGTAGATGGCCCGCTGGGACCCCCAGCTCCCTCAAACCTACGGGGCGCAACAGCGACGACAGAAACCTTTGAGATCAAAGTGTACGAGATAGATGATGTGGAGCGGCTGCAGAAGAGAAGAGACAAAGGAGGAAGCAAGGTGAGAGAGGACATGTGATGTTTAAAACAGGAGTGAGTGTCTGTGGTAGGAGTGCATGTTGTTGGACAACACAAATGTTGATACTGGCAAAAATAACAGAGTTTTGGAAAAAGAGAGAATAACAGTTTGGAAGAGAGGGAATAAGAACAAAATAAGGGTTAAAGAAGGAAAGATATACAAATATATAAAGATATACAGTATAGTGGTAGTGTGAGGGAGAATGAAGAGTGGGTTTAGGGAGAGAATCAAAGAAGTTAGTGAGCAAAAGAGCAAGAAACAAGGTCCAGAGTCCGGCCAACAGTGATGTCAATGAAAATGAATTGATGATTATTTAAGCAGTGATTATTCTGATGGACCAACAAAAAATGGAGAAGAGAAGAGACACAGGAAGCAATGGGACCTGAGCTTCTGTTTCAGCCAGTGAGTTAAGAGACCTCAGAAAAACCAAGAAGCTTTAATATACAACAGTAAGGATTTTCACTAAATGAACATTAGCACTATGCTCTGTGAACAGTGAGTATTTTTAATAAACCTACATTCCAATTCTCTGCTTGCTCCTCTAAAATCCTAAGACCTAACAGAATACAGACTGGTTCTGTGAATCTCATTAAACTGAAGCAAATGAATGCAGGTTCCCACTCTGAAACCTTCATGTATTCAGGAGAGGGAGCATTGTGAGCTTTGTGAGAGAGGAAGGGAGAGAAAAGCATGAAATATAGATTTTCCCCGCAGCGGCCTTAAGAAGCCACTTAACCCCCGACTGCTCCAGTGGAGCTGCTCAGTGTCCAAGCGTATGCACTCGACTGCGGTCTCACCAGGACTTGATGAGGTGTGATGTGAATGTTTGTACCTGTGTGAATGTTAAGTAGTCTGCTGCTGGAAGAGAGACACATGTTTCACAATAGAACACTGAATAAATAAAGGTGAGCCAAATTCATATCTGTCTGTCTGTGTGTCCTCTGTGTGTGTGTGTGTGTGTCAGGAGGTGGTGTATGTGAGCGCCAAGCTTCGTCTGCTGGAGAACCGCCAGCAGCGAATCAGTGAAGTCAGAGCCAAGTACCAGTGTCTGAAGAAGGAACTGGAACAAACCAAACAGTACCTGATGCTGGAGCCACACAAATGGACCACTGAGTGTAAGTGCAGCACTGACACAACAGGAAGTGCGCTTGTGTTGTGAGAGAAACAGGGTGACAACATCTGTCATGGTGTGAGTGCAGGCTGTTTGTTTTGAGTGTCTCATCGTGTTTTATGCACCAGTGGATCTCAACAGGTAGAAAAGTATATTTCATGTCAAAGAAAAACATTGTCCCTGTTATAAGCAATCATTCATATTTGTCTTTAACCAAATAATGATAAAAAAGCACTTTTCATATTTTAAGGACAATGTGTTCACTGCTGAATAAGGCTTTATTCTGTATATGTTTCTACAAGTGCAACAAAAAAACCAAAAACAAAAATGCATTAGTCTGCAACAATCATTTTCCGACTTTTAAACCCATTGTTCCTATTCAAGACATAAATCTCTCAAAATGAGCCACACATAAACAGCTTCACTTTTCAAAAAGGCTCAGTAATTTCCCAGAGCAGCTGGGCACTGTAGTTTTTGGCCGTTACTTAAATAGGAGTAAAAATTACATTTACTGGAGCCTGGGAACCGTTTTCAGCTGCCGACTGACACACATGTGGCACTGTACTGAGCATGTACAGCGATACAATAAAATACAAAACAATACTTTATTAATCCAGAAAGCAATTTAGATTTGGTCAATTAAAAGGAAAACAAGATATCGACATGTACTGATAAATGTGCACTAAGCAATGACGCTAGGAAACAACATAAAGGAGCGGTTCACTTCCTTTGAGCTAAAAGTTTATTTTCTATAAAGCAGGACAGTGCATGTGAGATTAATTCATTTCAGTTTTAGATCAACAATAGACGCCTGTGACACAGAGGAATTAGTTATTTCAGGCTTTGACCAAAAGGACATTACAAGTTATCTGAATCAATTCATTCTTAGTTTTGTTTTAGTTTTTCTCTAGGAAACAGAAAAAAAACATAAGAAAATATAGAATATCTCCAGCCTTTCTTTTAAATTGATACAATTAAGTGTTTTAGCAGGTTGTGACTTTTTATTCTCCCCATCTAACATCCAGTTGAGCTGCAGCAGGTCTATGAAGTGGACTCTCTGGAGTATTTGGAAGCCCTGGAGACGCTAACGGACAAACTGGAGACCAGAGTCAACTTCTACAAAGCTCATCTCATGATGATCACCTGCTTCGACGTGTCCTCAAGACATCGATAGATAGAGGGAGAGAAGAGAAGCAGGAGGACAGAGAGGTGGACACACGGCAGGACTTCATGTTTGAATACTTGATGTTTATTAACCAAACACATTTAAAATATGTATCTCCTATATCAATACATCTCATTGGATTACTGGTTAGATGGAAGGAGGGGATACAGGGATGGACTGTCCATTCGATTTATCATGTCGGGCATCCTTATGTCCCCAGATGTAAGTCGGCAGAAGGACAGATGGATGGAGAGATGGAGGGATTAAAGGAATGGAGATATCTGACAGGCCAACAGACAGATGACCTTGTAGATTTTCACATTTGGGCTTTTAAGCAACCTCAGAAACAGTCACTGAAGAACATCTTATTGACAGGCTGCTTTGACTCAGATATATATGGCCGCCCTGAAGGGGGCAGACAGATGGTGGTGACTGAGACGAAACATCAGACAAGTGACCACATTTTTCGAGGACGGAATAATTAGAATGCAGAGAAACCTCCTAGACTCAGTCGAACATTCAGTGACGTACGGAGAAAAATAAAAAGGAATGGAGAGACGAGCAAAAACTGCCTTTTTTAAACAGAGGATGATGAAGGAGAGGTTAAGGTCAAATAGAGGAACCATTTCTCCTCTCCCATTATTTTGGAAGAGCACTTTTTAGAGCAGTTGAGAGCCATTGACTGTAAACACAGTGCTGACTACAGAATGGCCTGGTATTGCTGTGCAGTTGAAAATAGAGACAGTAGGACAAAGAAAATGATTCAGATAAGTGCCTTGTGAACATTTCAACAATACCAAGACCAATTCTCTTTCTCTCGAATATGTGTACATGCATTACGTATGGTGCTAACAGAAACAACACACACAGAAAAAGATCAGTGTCCTTGGAAAATCTTTGAAATGATAGCCATTATTAAATGTGACGTTTTACTGTGTTTCACTAGAAGAAAACTCACTTTGTTTGAATCTTATTTGTTACACTGATGTAATACATCCAAACTGTTTGGATCCCTAACCCAAAAAGTTAAAAAATAACAAACACAAACCTCTTTAAAGGTGCTACAACAAGGTTCTTCTGCCACAATGATTTTTATGGACGTGGGTTATGATGATCTTCACTTGCGAGGAGCTTCAGCCATCTTGGCTTTCCAAGAGGTTATAAGATGTCCATTGAGCAGTGCTAGTTTGTCAGTTTGTGACTCCATTGGAAAGAGGCCAGGCAAACTTCGGTGGAAGCAGAACAAGAGCTTACATTGCTGTAGCTTTCCACCGATGCAGACAGCTGTCACCAAGTAAAAGAATGAAGTCTGGTGCTAAACTTGCTTCCAGACCGGTCAGGAAAATTCTGGTCAATGTTATTACGGGCCATGTAGCAATAGCAATCATTTTCAACGACCAAAAAATTAATTTTAAAAAACGTACATGATTTTTCAAGGACACAGACCAGAGACGTGTGTTTGAATAATAATAATTTAAAAAAAAATAGAGAAGAAAAAAAAGCTATGTTCTTGTGATAATGTGTTTTCACTTGACTTTACTCACAAACAGAGCACATCTGACTTTGGCCCTCTGGGGCACATGTACCATATATTCCCCCCCGATACAGTCGTGATGGCGTTTTCATGTTCATGAAGCAATGAAATGTTGAGTCACACACGAGTGGAGCTGAAAATGTGTCTCTGTGTTACATCCATCGACTGACTGACTGTCTGACTGACAGGTGGACTGTCTGTTATTTGTATCTGTGTCGTTCTGCTCTATTCTAAAAGAAACTGAATGATTCGTCAATGTGTGTGTTTTATAATAAAGTATCTTTTTTATTTGAGTTCAATGGGACCATGGAGAGACTATGTATGATAGTAGGATAATGAAAATAGTATAAAGACAAATATTTAAGGCTAAGGAAGAGACAACTACAGGAAAAGCCATTTGATTTACACTGTTTAATGTCTTTATTGGAACAAAGTAGTGAATTTAGACTGGTTATACCTACTAGTGAATGCAGTTATTGTTAAAAATGGCCGACTAGTTCAAGTTCAGTTTCCAGACATTGTAAAGAAACAAAAATGTATTTAAAGAAATAAAACTAAAGAAAGAAAAGGAT